TCTTTTGACATTTAAATCTCTAAACGGCCTTGCCCCTGTCTACATTGATGAAATGATCCAACGTTATGTACCAAATAGAAAGCTTCGTTCGTCTTCTGCATTTCTTTTAAAACAAAACAAATGGAACCTTAAGTCTTATGGTTTTAGATCTTTTACAGTAGCTGCTCCCTTTTTATGGAACTCCTTACCTTTAGAAATCAAGTCTTCGCCCAGTTTAGATATTTTTAAATCTAAACTGAAAACACACCTTTTTAAATGCGCTTTTAATCTAAATTAGATAACTTAATCTTTTGTTTTTATATTTCTAAGTCATACTGTAATACAATGGATGTAAAGCGCTTAGAACGCATGCGAATAAGCGCTATATAAGTGTTATTATTATTATTATTATTATTATTATTATTATTATTATTATCTTGCAACACTTATGAGCTTGTTTGACTTTCCCAGAATGCTCACTCTTGTTAGCCCCTCTCTTTTTCTACTTAAGTAATTCATGTTCCATTTTGAAGAAAAGGTTCCAAGTTTTTTAAAATTTCTTGGTTACGCTGTATAAATCACCAACCTTGCATACTCCCCCCCCTCACAAAAATTCATGTTACGTTTTAATTTCTTTTTGGTTTTAATACTTGTGTTTAGTCGCAATCGGATTACTTGGGCGCCCTCAGTGAGGCTAAATGTTTAATGCACTTTTTTGTATCAGGTTTGCTGCCTCAGATTGTTGGAGTTGCCCCTGAAAAGGCCATTAAATTGACGGTGAGTTTATAACTGCATTTCACTTCAAGTTAATCTATATCCATTGACACTATCGTTAAGTCAGTCAATAAGTTGATCGTTAGTTGGTCGGATAGTCATCATCAGTCAGTCCGTCCGTCCGTCCGTCAGACGGTCAGTCAGTCAGCCAGTCAGGCAGTAATATTCGGTCGGTCAGTCAGTCAGTTAGTCAATTGGCTAGTCGTTCTGTCAGATAGTCAGTCACTCGGTCAGACAGTCAGTCAGTCAGATAGTTAATCGGTGCGTCCGTCCGTCAATTAATATAGATAATCTCTTACAAGCAAAGTTTACTACATCTGATGTCTTAGTTTTTTCTATTCAGACCAACGACTTTGTTCGTGACGTGTTTCGTGATAAAGACGGATTTATAAGCTTGCCTCTTGAGATCGTAGCTGGTGGATGTGTAAGTACTTTTAGTACCGATGAAACTTTTACGTGCTTGGTAAACGAATTCCGTGTTCATCAGACTCAATCAGTCAATTACAAAGTGGCAACCCCTTTGAGGATAAATCTTCCGAGATATCCAAGATTTGAGCTAATCTTTTTACATCAGGGCTCTTGCAATTATCGCATGTTTGTCAAGTTACGAAACAGCAAGTGAAAATCAAATAATCGAACTTCACGATGTTAACCCTTTACGTAACTCCTTTGAGTGACCAAGACAGAATTTCTCCTTACAATATCAATACAATAATATTATGCAGAGAAGTGATGAGAATTAAGAAAAATATCAATAAAGGGATTATCAGTTGATCTAATACCAAATTCTCTGAACTAACATCATAACAATTGTATGGCAGACGGTAAGGAGAATTCCTAATGAGATCTCGAGAACCGAGTCACACATGTAGAGTGAAAATAGCGATGTTGCTTGCTTTACTTTGTAACTCGCGCAGTTAAATTCCCGCACTTAAGGCAACTGTTGATCCCGCGGTCGTGGATTACCAAATTTCTAATAACGTGATTTTACTGGTTTGATGTCACGTAGTGGCTTAGACCGCTCGCAGTCTCTTCTTTTCTTTCATTACAGAGCGAGAGGAGATCTGGAAATAAAGAGAAAGGGACAAGACTGGCCTGTGGGACCCATTTCCTTTCCGTTCAATCACCATTCAGTGCCCTCTATTTTCTCTTGTTGGACCATATGAGAAAAAAATGCTACAAACAGTCTTACGACGGTCACTATTGCCTCTAGTGTTAGGTTAATCAAACATAGAATTAATCAAAAGAGTGCTAGAGACGTACTTGCACTCTTCTATGATTTCGGCAGTGGTGACAGCGCAGGCAATGGGGAGTAATCGTGGTGATCAGCCGCCTAATTTACTCGGATTGTTCACTTCTTTAGGGAGGAGCTGCCCAAGTTCTCTTCACCAATCCTCTAGAGATTGTGAAGATCAGGTTACAGGTCGCTGGAGAAGTTGGAGCTACGGGTAAAGATAAGGTGACGGCGTTGAGGGTCATCAGGGAACTGGGACTTACAGGACTTTACAAGGTACCTCCACCAGAACAACTAAAGAAAGATGATCATTTGTTTTGTCACTAGCGTGGGACAGAGAGAAATTACAATTGTCAGATCCTCTATTTGTCCAACAATGTTCGTGACAGTATATTCTCAAGATATACCTTCTTCCAAAGTTATTCTCACATTAGACCAACTACTGTAGTCTGTAAACCAAGTTTCCCATTCCTCTGGACGGGATAAACCGCTCGTCCCACAGGAATTTATTTCCAGCGTCTGTCGTGCTGGTTGCGTTTGATTTTAGTAAATGGAAGTTCTTATTGTTGTTTTCTCTTTCTTGTCACCTAGGGTGCGCGAGCTTGTTTTTTAAGAGACATTCCATTTTCTGGTATTTATTTCCCGGCTTACGCTCATCTAAAGCTTCACTTCACAGATGAAAATGGCCATGTTGGTCCTGGCGGACTTTTTGTGTCTGCAATGATGGCTGGTAAGAGCATCTGATTAATTGATTGTTGATTAACCATCGTCAACCTACTTTTGCTGTAGAGTATTCTGTTGAATTAGCGACTGAATTGTAACCCAAATTGATAATGGCCCCCCCATAGCAAAGTAGTTTTGTACAAAATGTGAATGACTTTGGTGTTTCAACGTTGTATATCTTTTTCCTTACAGGAGTCCCTGCCGCAGCCCTGGCTACTCCAGCTGACGTCATCAAGACTAGATTACAGGTAAACTGTCTAAACATCCCCACACATTCATCACCTCGGTTTTCACTCATTTTCCTCTTGAATAAACCATCTTTTCCGTTCTGGTTTAGAAATAATTTATGAAAATTTTGTGGTACAGTTCTTGCGGTGTCGTAAATTTATTTCCTGTTTAGATTTTGTTTTGGTTAAACCTCTTTTTAGTAGCGTTCCAAGACAAAGTAAAAATTTCCTTTCCTTCCTCTGTTAAATGCATGAAAACTTTTCATATAATCGAGGGCCCCTGGAGGGTTAAAAATAGAAGCAAATAAAGAGAACCGAGTTGAGCGAGGAAAGAAATTTGCATATGCATACCGTCTGAGACTACAGATGTCTTACTGACAATATGTATTTTGCTGTACGCTTTGGAGTTTTTCCTCTCTCTCTCTCTCTCTCTCTCTCTCTCTCTCTCTCTCTCTCTCTCTTTTTTTTTTCAAGGCGCTCTAATTTACGGAAAACGATCGATTAATGCCGGTTAGGATCCACTCCAGGAATTTTGCTCCACAGCAACAATCACTCATCAATACTCAGAGCTAAAAATGTTGTTGATTGGCAAGGACCTTTACTAATTAAAACCTTTTTGCCGGCGCAGGTGAAAGCTCGGTCAGGGCAGCAGACGTATCGAGGGGTTTTTGATTGCTTCAGGAAAATACGGAAGGAGGAGGGAGGCAGAGCCTTTTGGAAAGGAACAGGAGGTCTCTTTGAATAGAATACTCTTAAAATGTTGTAATTCAAAATGTGCACACACAAATCATGAAAGTATTCGTCCTGTTTCAATGTAGAAGTACCGCAGCATACTTCGCTGATGTGAGGCATTCGCAAACTTTGGTAATTCAGTTTCCAGCTCCTCCGTGATTGCATCATTGAAAAGTAAATCGTCACTTGATTAGAAGAAAATGAAGCAAGGTTATCAACATCGCTTACATGCATAGGTCGTCCTACCATTTTGTCCACCTGAAAGAATTTGATTGACAATTATCAAACTTTCTTCAAAGAGTGATCGCATTAGAATTCACAGATTTCAAGTTTGGAAAAGTTTAATTTATATTTATCCTGACTTCCTATGTTTCGCTTTCAGCGCGAGTTTTCAGATCCTCGCCTCAGTTTGGGGTCACTTTGCTCACATATGAACTTCTTCAGAGAGTGTTTAAAGTGGATTTTAGCGGAAAGGGGTGAGTGCAGTAAAGAGCATGAGGATGAAAGACACAAGTTCAAATTTCATATCTGTTCCTGAAACACGAATCGATATCCTGTATTATTTTTACCCTTGGTTATAATCTATTCACGTGCAACGCACTATAAATTTGTAGGCAATATCGATGGGTTGGTTCTCGTCAGAACTATTTAAAAGATCGTTATCAGTTGTACTGTTTCTTTACTTATTGTCATCGTCATGGATACATAGCCGTTGAGAAAGCGCTTTCATACCGCGCGCTGAGAAACAATCCCCAATTTTTATTTGGAGACTTTTTACTAATTAAGTTTTTTATTTTTGTTTCTTGCCATAGAGTAATACTACATGAAGCCTGGAGTGAAAAAAGATCCTATAATCCAGATATTTCCTTGCATCCAGACCACATCGGTGGCATGAGAATGGCTGTGGCCTCGTTTGCGGGCATTGAAACCAGGTTCGGTTTATGTTTACCCAAGTTCACACATGCAGCAGCCGAGAAGAAAGCTAAATAAAAATTACCGCTGAGGAAAAGGAAAGGTAGAAGACATTAACGGAATCCGACGGAGCGGATGAAAAAGGAATTGCTGAAAAGTTTAATCATCTGTAGTAATTGTTACTCACACTTGTGCGCGTTATTCACACGTTCTTCACACGTGGATCGTTTGTGTCTTGTTTGATCTGCAGAAAAAGCTAAACTTGCGCACTTGAATGAACAGCAGCATGTAAGATGCACGAATTTTGAGATTTAATCGGAACCGTATCAAGCAAACCCTCTTGGAACGTGGCGTTAGGAAAGTGTAAAGTACTTTTCATATTATCTGTCCTTTGAATGCTATCTTATCTTGCAAGGGGAAAATTTTTGTGGGAATCCTAGAACAAACCTTGTTGACTCAATTTACAGCTTTATATTGCGGATTGTATAGTTCAAACAACCTGTCTTTTCTTATTAGAAGTTTAAATAATTAATTGCAGAGGATTATAACACATCGATTGGATTCAAATTTTTAGAATTCAAGTTCAGTAATGTGGCAAATATAATCATCAATTCGTTCGACAAAAGACTTTCAGAAACTGCCCAAATATCGTATAAATAACGTCTTGATTGACACATACTAGCAGATGCTGGCGTACATAGTCGCGCCGAGCACGATATTATTTATTAGGAGGCTTTCAAGATCCATGCGAGAGCGAACTTTTTAAATATAATGGAACGAAACCAAAGCTCGACAATGTCGGATTCTGATGTGATCGTTTTGTGTCGGGCCAGGGGGGTGACTAATGTAGATCCAGGGGTCTGATTTGGGGTCGAGGTTACTATCAGAAAATATACATCAAAATATTTTTTATGTTTGAATCTATTGTAATTTTGTCAAAGAATGCGTGGAAGCTGAGTTATTGAAATACAATTTAACGGACGCTGGTCTTCTTGTTTGAATCTCTCTTTAATTGATGAAGTCTGCGGTCAATGACCGATGTATCTTAAAACAAGTAAAATCGAAAAGCAGTTAGAAGTTCCGGCCTAAGTTCATGTGGTAGTTTCCTCTCGCCATCCAAGTGACATATTCGTTCAGTTTCTCTCATCCTTTTCCCCCCTCCACAATATGTTCTTTCCTCAAAAAACTTTGTCTCTTCCTCCTTAAGTACCGTCGTTCCCTATGCCTCGAAACTACGATGCATTCATCGATTTCTCTCGTTCTCTTCAAAGATATGTTCTTCTCTCAAACATGTCTATTTGTTGAGAAATGTGTTAGGGTCATTAAAGAAAAGAAAATCATCTAGTTGAGCAACAAGCAATCCTGTCGTTGCAAGAAGTTTAGAGTCAGGCAAGACAGGCCACAAGTCTATCGGAGGAGGAGGGGAAGGGTCTGGGCCCCCTCCTACCAGCTCTCTTTGCCACACTTGGCAGTACCCGGGCCTTTTCAAAATTGACGTTTACCGAGGCAAGAACGCTCTCATTCACAACTCTTTCAGTCTTTTTCAAAATTATCTTCCTCGATGGAAGTTGGTGGGGCCCCTCGAAACAGTTTCCCTTAAACTAAACTTAGCCTATGACGATAAGTAGATCGAAAAATATGAGTATTTGGCTTTCGCAATCGGTTCTACTGACACAAGAGAAAAGAAAACACCATAAAACCAACTTTGAATAAACATCTAACAGGTTGGTTGAAAATCTGATTCTTTCAACGCCGTTTTCGAGTTTCCGCCTCTCGTTCTCACAAGTATTCATTTTTCACCGGAGGGTGTGCGATTTTTATTTTTAAATTACTAACAACCCTTTTTAGCACATAAAATGGTCACAATGAGTACAATTGATGCTCCACAAGAAATGGCCGATTAATAAGTTGAGGTCGCCATCATGTCAAGTCTAACAACAAAGGCAGCTGCGCAAATAGTGAAGGAGCTTCAGTAATTAATAGGAGCAAACTACGAGTTGCGTGCTGATTGTCATTTTCGAAGAAAATGGAAAACTGAACAACGTGACAATTCCTTTGACTCACTCAAAGACAAAAAAGAGCATTTTCTGAAAGTACAAGTTCAATGGGTTATTGGTTAGTTGTCATGTTGCTGATAAAATTGGAGTACTGTACTTATCTAAACATTGCCGCTCACAGGGAGCCCACCCAAGCAGCGTGTCTGGTCGTTTGTTCGAAACTGATAAAGAAAGCTATGGGAGAATATTGAAGAGTCGTAATATCGTAAACTTCTATCAAGGAATGTCCATGTTAAGGCTCAAAATACATGTAAACCTACCTCAATTGCTATGTATTGTCATTTCTGTTGTTCTAAATGGCGAATTTGAGCGATTTGGTGGGTTTTGCGTTGACTGTTACTTTACTCCTTCTTTATAACGTAAAGCAACGCCTCAACAAAACGCCATCTTTGCGTTAACCGCCATGTTTTTCCTTGTACGCACCTAGCACTCATCTGTAAGGGAGCTATCCGCTGACAATCTCCAATTAGATTGCGTTGCAAGTTGTGAAAACATCGTTTTGATTTTCAACCGTGATTTAAGGTGGCTCGTACCAGTTTCCTCGCGCGGGGAACAGGTCACTCTTGCGTGACGCGCATGAGAGAAACGTGCGAAAGAAGCGCGAGATCAAAAGATGAAAATTCAAAACAAAGATGGCGGCGCGTGGAATTTTTTTCTACTTTTGTGAGAAGTTTACCTAAGAGCTTGTATTTGATGTGTTGAGCGGCCACTGTGAATGCAGGAGATAGAAACTAAGATAACGAAGACGATTTTCGGAGAAGTAAAGGTTGCTTCACTTCACATTTAAAAGAAATATTCAACCGATATGAAATCTTGCGACGGCGCAAAAAGAAGAACTCAAGTGAAGGATAATCTACCTGAAGTGGAAGAAGACTTTGAAACTTCAGGGAAAATAATATGACCTAGCCAGAATTCATGTGTAGGATTTTTAATATGAGCTCGGGAGGCTGTCTTTGATGGCTGTTGAATGATTTTCTTAGCAGTAAACGTCAGTAAACATCAGATCGTAGGTGCTCGCGCGAGCACACGCAATTGTCAGCGGTAGCTAAAACAGATCATGAGCAAATGTCGATCTTATAGAATCCAGATTTTTAAATGCGCGAGAACGCGCGTGGAAATTGCTAAACTCACGAAAGCTATTGCATGAAAACAAGTCCGGTGACCCCTTCTTTTTATTGTTCGAATATGATAATAAGGTCGAAAGGAATCATCAGAAAATAAACTAGAAAATTGTACGGAAGGAAATTTGCGATGTGTGAAAATTGCCCTTTTTGTAGATTTTCTGAAATTCCGCTCCGTAAAATTTTTTAAAAATCTTTGAGCATTTTCCTTTTCAAGTGCCAAAAGCAATCACTGAAAAAAATCAGGGGGTCATCGGGTTACTTTTCGAATTATTTAAGCCACAAGCTAAAAAATGCGTCTGAATAAGCCTATGAAGCGTTGCCATGGAAACTTCTAGTAACGAAATGACACTTATTTTTGGATAACCAATGATTATGTAATTCAACCCCGTAAAAGTGTTCAACTGGCCTTGGTTAGTCTTTCTGTTGTATTCTTTCAAAGTTACAAACCATCAAAAAGATGAAAACCGGTACGAGCCACCTTAAGAATGTGTAGGAAGTAGCTTCGCCCACCCTCCTCTTGAACTTTTGCTTATAATTGTCACTGCGAATAAATTTTGAATTGAATGCCACTTTCACATTTATTTAGAACTATTTATTATTCACGATATAATCGTAATAGAAAATATTTCTCCTCTCTAGTCTAGTCGGAACTTTTAAAGAAATGGCAACCACTTAACACAGATTTTTATTTTTTCTCAAAGAATTAAGTCAGCTTATGACTCTGTCACCTTTCTTTATCTTAAATTGTCCAAACTGCCAAGATTTGTTTTGCGGAGGAAATAAGCTTATTTCATCCTTTTACCCTTTATCGTGTTTATCTTCTTACTCGAGCAATAAAACTTCTTAACAGCTTATTTCTCAAGCCAATAAGGATCATGAACATTTACAATCCACAAAGAAGACTGCAGTCTGGCTGTAATTATATGCACCTTAACCAAATAAAGAATACTACAACAAATATCAAGCGCTCATCTTTTTTCAGCTTTTAAGGTTCAAAAAATTGATCATCCAAAAAAGGCTCGGAATAAGTCTTGGAAAAAATTTTCTTTCGGGTAAATTTGAGTAAAAATACAATTTGAAGTCGGAATAACCTTCTGTTATCGCGAATCAAAAACTGATCAGAGCAAGAACCTACATTAATTCTCACTGAAAGAGATCAAGCTATCTAATTTATGCCGACAATCTCTTCATTTGCCCCTTTTTAAGAACTTTATTTTAGAATGCTTTCATCTTTTTCTCTGATCTTGTCTACGCGTTATTTTGGTCTATTTGCGTTTTGCTATCCAAATTACACTCGAGTTTATGTTCGGTTGTCTTAGAAACATCAATCTGAAGACAGAAAAAACGTTTCCGAAAGGACGCTCAGGAAGTCTTAAAACTGAGGCCAGTGTATAAAGTACAAACTACTGCAGAAATGGCATGTACTGGAGACAAGAACTAAATAAATGATTCAGAAAGTTAATGGTTTTATATTAAACAACATCACGGGATCGATTTTATTTTTTAATAAGCGAAACCGTTCACCAAAGTTGGCAAGCGTCGAACTAGCGGAAACCTCTGGATCCTATCACCACGAGATTAAAAAATATTTACATTTTTTGTTAGCTTGCTTATTGAGAGGTTTTCTCGAAAGTGGTTGATGGACGGTCTCGCATCATGAAGCTTAATACATGCTCGTGCATTTGATAATCATTTGAATTCTGATATGGCGAAGATTTCCTTTGCTTCACGGTTGGCATTACGCGTATCTGATATCAAAATAATGCAGTCCTTCATTATCATTTTTTTTTTTTTAACTATGATAAAGTCAGAGACATAAACTCATTTTTTGCCATCTTCATGGAATCCGTACAGCTGTAAACATAAGTGGAAACTATTATTATCTTAAGCTCTCAACATCAACCGACTTTTTTTTTTTTAATCTCAAGATGTAAATAGTGAATTTAGTGAATTCCGGTCCCAACGCATTGAAGCTTCCACGCTGCGGGCTTTATTATCCACATTTCACAATCTTCTCAGTTGCAAGCTTTTAGCAACTCCAAAAGGATAAGCTGTTTGATAAGGTCTTTGATGCGTTTCAAAGAGGGTAACGCCTGATAACACGAGACCAAAAACAATTATCCATGCAATACTTAAGATTCCTAAAAATTTATACATATTTAGCATAAACCCATATTGATACAAAAACAAAATGAAAAAGAGGGATTATTTTTTTCCCTCAGGCTATTGGGAAATAATCCTCTAGCCCGTCCTCATATGGTATATTGCTCTGGAGCTGAGATTATGGCCTCTAGTTAAGACTCTGTCAAATTCTGAAGAATGCTTTCTTCGCCAGTTGAGAACCACACTGTTGCTGTGTGCGGGGCTTTTGTCCAAACGGCTGAGCCAATTCTTCTCTTGATTTCTGACGCCGGTTCAGAAAAGGAGTTGAAACTCCCACTCCGATCTGCCTTATATCGCTTTAATAACCTTTGGATGGCTTTACGAAACTGGTGGTTGTACGTGGTATATATGATCGGATTGAATGCCGCGTTGCAGTTTGGAAAGAGATGGACGAAAGTGATCTTCAGAAAATTAATAAACTCTACAGGCAGCCCTTTAAATGCCTCAGGACTGTACAGACTAAGCAAAGTGAGCACAAAAAACGGTGACCAGCAAATGCAAAATACGCTCAAAAGTATAATCAAAGTTTTTGTCGCCTTCACCTCAAAGAATATCGTCCCGGCTGAAAAGCGGCTGGATTTTCTTCGTGAGTTCCGTTCACTTCCGTTGCATAGCGACTCTTGAAGACGGAACACCTCAGTTGCTTGGTTAACTGCAACTTTAAAAACAAAGCAGTACATAAGAATCATGATGGTGAAGGGCGCAAAGAACCCGATGACGGAAATTGCTGTCAGGTAGATCTTGTTGTCGATATAGCATATTTGATTCCGCACTAAAATTCCCGAAGAGTCGCCGGACACAAATGATAGCGACGCCAAAGACATGGAATATCCCCATAGTATTATCAAGATAACAGCGACACGGGTTGATGTCATTCGGATGTCGTACGTTAAGGGGGAAGCGATCTTTAAATAGCGGTCGACACTGATGGCCGCTAAGTTTGCGATTGAAGCAGAGCAGAATAACAAATCTAGCCAGACCCAGAATCTACAAGCCGCCAGGCCGAGAGTCCAGAGATAGTACTCCAGCACGTTTACAATGCGGAAAGGCAAGCACACCAATGCGAACAGAAAGTCAGCCAGTGCAAGAGAAAGGATGAAATAGTTTGTTGGTACTTGGAGCTGTTTGACGGTGAACACAAGGTAACACACCAGGCCATTACCGCCGACTGACACGACGAGGACAACAATCAGGATGACTACCTGGGCAATGATTTCAAAATCACTTGGAATTGAGAAAATTTGAGCCGTGGAATTTTTCCCAGAGTCGTTGGCTGGCTGAAATATGTTCGAAAACGAAGAGTGGTTACTTGCTGAATTCGCGTGCATGACGTTGCTTGTTTCTAGAAGGCTGACAGTGTCAGGGTTGATCTCTGGTACAACGGCTGTCTTCTTCGCCCGAAAAAGACCTCTTACCAACTGACAAGTGGTTGCCAAATGAAGACTGTTCTTCTTGTCAGTTTAAACCTTATAAATATTCACCACGTAGAGTCTTCAATGGTTTCTTCGGAGCCTCTATTGATATTTGCCTCCTTGTTCCAAAGTTACAGTGCTATTGAAAACTAAGTGAGTCCGCCAGCTGATTAATTCAACGGACGCGATAACCAATATGCCGATTTTACGTTGCAAAATTTATCTCTCTCGAACATCTGTAGATGCGAGTATTTTTCTGATGTGAGATTTTTTCTGGACTCGTTAGGCAGCTCTGAAGACCAGTTAATACCTCTGACAGTCAAATGTTATTGGGAAATCTTCGGAAACGGATGAACTTAAAATTGGATAGGTCATCAAAGATATTTCGATTGGCTCACATCACATCCTTTGATCGCCGACAAATAACACGGTGCCATTTGTTTTGTTAAGTCAAACTTAAATAGCTAAACAGTTTGAAATTTGAATTAAAATAGTCTTCAGTCGCCTCCCTCGTAGGATCCTGGAACACTGGAGCTGGCACAGTTCATGCATGGTTCGCGGGATAACACTGAACGTTGTTCATCACACATCACGAAATATCACACTCACTTCCTAGTCTGTCTAATGACATAGCGCCATTTCAAATTGAGGGTAACTCATTAGAGACAATGGATCTGCTTGCAACTTCGCCATCATAATTTTTGAGTCTCCTTTAGTTTGAGAAAATCCAGAATAATATCTTTCTTAGACAATTATAATATTCTATTATCATAAAGTAACATATATTTCCGGAACAGTCAATATTGAATTGAACCGACCAATGAAAATCTCCAATAAATCACTTACACCTGCTCGGCGGTTTTTTCTTGTTTTAGCTGAAGACAAATTTTATGAAGTCAAATGTGTGGTTAGAAACAACGGTCTACCGAGCGAAGAAAACCGACAAAAAACAAACTGAGTGCATTTAATGCAGAGCCGTCTCTACGCCTCTCCGCCAAGGTGAAACGACGTAAAGATAGGGAGCTAAAACAACAGATTAGCTGGATCTGTTTATTTGTGTCACAAAAGAAGATGCTGAACGTGTAGGGCTATCTCGGATAAGTAATCGAGCTCATTACGGTGTTATCGTTAAACGCAAGTTCTAATTTCATCATTAATTGTGCTCTGGAGAATAAAGTCACCTCCGGCGTGGAAATTTCCCAACACTGATAAAATCGCCAACTCGCCGACAAATTTTGATCTACAAATTTTTAATTGCTCGAGGTGAGAGTTTCTGTAAATACGCGAAACGAATATGGATTTTGCACGTTTGCAACAAAAAGGATCCAAGAATACCATTTCATTATCACCTTCAGTTTACAGTGCTCAATCAAAAAACTGACATTCGATTATAAGTTTGTTTTGCCAGTTTTCAGTTTTTACGTACGCACTTTGGCGCTTCTTTGATGTCTTCCAGCTGCAGCGCATCATTGAAAAAAATCGTAAATTGCAGTTTTATAACGCTTCGACAAGAGTATCTAAAAAGCTCTCGCCACCTTCTTCAACAGCCTACGAAAAGCTGACAAAATAAACTAAAGTCGGAATAAAGTGCTCCCTTAGCATACTTGCTTTACTCCAAGAGCCCCGCTGATCCTTTTTAGGTCCAGCTTTAAATTGCATTGGTAAACTCATTTGATATCTTGAACTGCATGCTGCTATTATCAGTTGCAAGCGACGAATTTGAGACGCCAAAAGCACCTGCAAGATAAATGTTTTTCCCCTGGTGTTGGTTCAGTTATAGATTTTTCGTCTGCTGCGTATGGTTTAATATGATGAAACACATTCTTTCCAATAGATCGATTTAAGTAAAGAGCGCCAAAAGCAATCGCCTTTTTCTCCGGTCTGTTCCATATTTTTAATATTTACATGATCTTGAATCGCGGAGAATGGACAAACCAACAGGGGATATGACGAATTGAGGAAATTGGAAGAACACGAATCGATTAATGGCATAAACTGTACCGGTAAGTGGGTTCAATTCAATGACGTGGATCTCGTGCATGACGCACGTAATGACACAACGGACAAAAGTGACAAGGAAAAAAATCGAATTCGCTTGAAAATTCTCAATATGAGTATAAATCCTTACTTCATAAAAAGCACTTCCTCAAATTTTCCTGAAATTCTTCTTTGCCCATCAAAAGCTTAATAGTTGTAGCATTAAAGTGAAATAGGTGCAAATTAAATTACGGTAGCAAACAACGCTTCCACTGGAGAGAGAAATTATAGTGTTTTCGGTTTGGGATGTTCAAACCAATGCTGTATTGAGAAGTTAACCAGAAGTACTAAACCCAATAACAGCGTGAGACTGATGGAGAAGCTCTTTTCTCAAGGACGTTTTTCGGTGCGTCGGTGTCTCTTTAAAACCAATCGGTCTATTATAACGAGTTTACGTAAACAAATAAAAAAGGGCTATTTCTATCTTTAAGTTAATTCGAGCCCAATACGTAACTATTTAGTCTCTGTCACCCCCTGTGCAGATTTCCACACTCATCAAGTACCTGAACGGTTGTTTGTTAGATGAAAGAAAGCTATAATTTATGAGCGAAATCGTGCAGGTTTAGGCCACGAAATAATTTGAATATATCAACAAAGTTGAAATGGTAAATTGGCCACCGTTACGATTATAAAAGCTGAAGTTTCAAGCGTTAGCCCTTTAAAGCTGACGTTTCGAGCGCAAGGGCTAACGCTCGAAAAGTCAGCTTATAAGGGCTAACGCTCGAAACGTCAGCTTTTATAATCGTAACGGTGGCCAATTTACCATTTCAACTTTGTTGATATATTCAAATTATTTCGTGGCCTAAACCTGCACGATTTCGCTCATAAATTATAGCTTTCTTTCATCTAACAAACAACCGTTCAGGTACTTGATGAGTGTGGAAATCTGCACAGGGGGTGACAGAGACTAAATAGTTACGTATTGGGCTCGAATTGAC